ACGTAGCGCACCTTGAACACCAGTGGCTCTCCAAGAGGGCGCTTCACCTTGAAGAGCCACCGACCATCGATTACGTTCACCCAAGGTGGGGGAACTGCGTCGACGTAGGTGCCGGTGGATCTCCAAGATGCCATCTCCGCGTCCATGGCAGCTATCCACTGAGAGACCCAGGGTTCCGAGGTCGCCTCTGCGTAGGTGAGAGGAGTCGGGATGTCAAGGGCGTCTGGGTCACCCTCAAGGACTAGCAGCATGGAGCAGAGATGAGGAGCGACCTCGGACAGGAAAGCAAGCTCGTACTGTCGGTCCTCCTAGATGTCACAACCGACGGCAGGAGCACCCCTGACGGACGGAGGACGGGCAGGGTCAAAGACCAGAGCGGTGGCGCAATCAAGGCGGTGGGTAGAGGCAAAGTCAGCGACAGCTGCGACCTGAGCGTCAAGTCTCGAGACAGGAACAGACAGGTCGGTAACGAGGGAGACAAGGACCCGAGGAAAAAGAGGACTAGCGGCACGAAGGAAGTCAGACAAAGGAGGCGGAACGACAACAAGCGAGGACGCAGGAGGCAACGGGAGGAGGGGAGGATGAGACGCTTGGGAACGGAGCAACATAGGGTGAGAGCATTGAACAGAAGAGACAGGACGAGCACGAGAGGGACGATGAGACCAGAAGTGGGACGGAGGCGTCGGGTCAGGAGACACAGGAGGAGAATAAGGGAGGAAGCGAGTCGGAGACGAGTCCGGCGGAGGAAAGACAGGGCCGTGGACAGGCAGGGGAGGCGGCAGCAGGGGAGGCGCAAGCAGGTGGTTAGGGGAGGGAAGACCGAGGAGGCGAAGGGCGGACACCGGCGACGACTGCTGCTGCTCCGCACCGACACCAAAATCTCCAGCTGCAACACGGCTACCTTCGGGATGCTCCACGCCAACACCCCCAGAGTGAGAACCCTCACCAGCACCGGCGCTACCCCCAGGACCGCCGGGACAGGCCACGATAATAACCCCAGGACTAGCACCCCCAAAACCAACACCCCCGGAACTAGAACCCTCTGCAGCACCAGTACCACCCTAAGGACCGCTGGGACAAGCCACAACAGTAACCCCAGAACTAGCACCCCACTCAACGCCCGCACACCAAGTGCTCACGGACCCTTGCGGCGGCGGCTGCTGCTGCTGCTGCGACGGCGGTGACGGCTGCTGCTGTTGCGACGGTGGAGGAGACACTGGGGCGGAGACAAGCGGTGAGAACGGAGCCGCAGGGCCACCAGAGTCAGCCGAATCCTCTACCAGAACAACCGACAGGAGGGGAGTGACGTGAGACACGCCAGACGGGGCAGGACGGGGAGGGAGAGGAGCATGGGCTACAGATGGAGTGGGAACCAGAAACAGGTGTGGGGAAAGCGGGAGACCTCGGTGGGGAAAGCGGTGGTAGAAGGAGATAGGCTCGTCAAAAGTGATGTTATGCGAGTGAAAGAAACGGTGAGACAGCGGGTGGTAAAAGTGCCAGTGAGACGTGTCGAGGGGGAAGCCAAGGAAGACACAAGGAACAGTGCGGGCAGTGAGCTTGTCTGTGCCAGAGGCACGAACGTGAGCAAGGCAGCCCCAAAGATGGAACGCAGACGCGTCACCAGGGGACTCGGTCAAGAGGAGTGTTAGTGAAACATGCGGCCGCTGAGAGTGTGGCCACAGGTTAAGATGGTGAGCGGCGTAGCGAACGGCGAACAGCCACAGAAAATGGGGTGCACCGGCATGGATCATGGAGGTACGAGCCACCTCCATGACCAGATCGATGCGTCGCTCAACAACCCCATTCTGCTGCGGAGAGTCCGGCATGGTGTATGATTGGGTGATGCCCTCCGCACGACAGAACTGGCCAAGCCGGCCGGAGGCGAACTCGCCGCCACGGTCGGAGTGAAGAAGGAGCACAGGGAGGCCGCGGTGGACACGCGCAGCTACGAACCAGGGGATAAGAACATCAGTCATATCGGCCTTCCGCTCCAGGGGAGACACTGTGGTATAGCACGTGTAGTCGTCGACAAGCACTAGAAAGTAGCGCTCTCGACACGGCCTAAGGACGAGGGCTGGGCCCAAGACGTCCAGGTGCAGGGTCTGAAGTGGCGTAGAGGTAGGGGGAAGCAAGGAGGAGTGAGGAGCACAGCGGAGCCGGGCCTCGACACAGGGCGTGCACGGCGGCGCAGGCGAGGGAGGGGGTACAGGGTGCCGTGCAAGGAGACCTAAGACAAGACCGAGGTGGGATATGTGACGCAGACGGGAGAGTGCGGGGTGACCTAGGCGGTGGAGCCACAGAAGCGACGGGTGAGTGAGCGACCAACATGAGCAAGCCGCAATGACCTGGGTAGACGCAGACACCTGGAGGGACGCCCCCACCGGATGGGACGTGGTGTCAAGCGTAAACAGGCCAGACACAGGGTCCCGGAGGAATGTGGCGAGAGGGGCACCGGTGGCGGCCTCGGTACAGACCGTGAACCGCTCGTGTCCAGGGAACGTAGTGGTGATGCCGAGGTCCTGAAGACGGCCGACACCAACTAGGTTCCTGGAGAACGAGGGATGTGCACGCCTGTAAGAGAGCCCGAGGGAACCGCTGGGAAGGGAAGGGTGGTAGAGCTATGTGCAACTACCGGACATGAGGAGGGGTCAGCAAGCGCGACAGCGGCAGGGGCGGCAAGCGGCGTGAGCGCAGTGTGGTCGCGGAAGAAACAAGCAGATGCTCCAGAGTCAAGCGTGAAAGAGAGCGAAGCATTAGTGTCAGCCGGCGGAGGGGCTAGCATGGAGCCTTGGGTAAACAAGGCAGGGGGTCCTATGCCTGACGTAGCAAGGGAACCTAGACTACGCAAAGTGGACACACCTACGCTAGGCAACACCGGGTAATAGGGTCTAGTCACACTAGAGTCATCAACATATACAGCATACATACTGTAGCAGACTTAATCTGATCCATGTCCAGCTAAAAAACAGACACACGGCGACGCACCATGCTATACAAGTCGAGGGGGTCCACCGTGGGGCCGAAGCAGAGACGGAAGAGGTTGTCGAGGCGACGGTAGCAGCGGGCGGCGGTGTGACCGGAACGGTCGCAAACGGTGCCACGGCGGGGGCCGGATTGAAGCTGGTACTGGCAGGTGACCAGACTGGAGCTGCCTCTTGACTCCGAGCTGCGCGGCCCACCACCAGCGCCGCCAGGCCACAAAGGCGGTGGGGGTCCCCATCGCTGCTACTGCTGCGACTGCTGTTGCTACTGCTACTTCTGCTCTTCCTGGTGCGGCTGCTGCTTCTGCCTCTGCTGCTACTGCTACTTCTGCTCTTCCTGGTGCGGCTGCTGCTTCTGCCTCTGCTGCTACTACTACTTCTGCTCCTGCTACTGCTGCTGCTGCTGCTGCTGCTGCTGCTGCTGCTCCGGGGCATCATCCCCGGTCCCCTCGTCTACACCACCGTCCCCGCCACCACCTCAGCCACCTCCGCCACTCCCACCACTCCCGCCACCCTTCCCTCCACCACGCCCCCCCTTGGGGCGGCGGCCCCTGCCTTGACGCGGCTGCGCTGAGGCCGCGGCGGCGGTCTCAGCAGTAGGGGCTTTCTCAGCGACAGCGGCAGAAACATCAGAGTAAGTGCACTGGGAGGGAGCACAACCGTGGAATTCAGGGACCGCTACAGTACCGCTAGACTGAGCGATAGTGCGCTAGCGGGTCTCTATCGCGGACAGGGCGGTGACATAGGTGGTAAGGGTGAGGTCACCTGCGTGCTGACTAAGGAAGTTGTCGCGGGCAGTGGCAAGGTGGTCAGGGAGGTGTGTGGCAATGTGGTACAATGTAGCGCAAAGCGGCGGCGGGATTGATGTGAGCTGTGCCTCAGTGCTAGCAGCGCGGTAGCTAGCCTCAAGTGCGCGGAGATGAATGGCAAGGTCAGCGACAGTGGGGAAGGAAACAAGGCCAGGGAATAGCATGGGGAGGATCAGACGGTCGGCAGAGGCGGAGGAGGGAGTGAAATAGTGCGCAATGATAGTATCTAAGAATTCTTTCGCATTTGCTACAGCAGTAAAGCGGGGACGCTCAGACAGGGAGAGGGCGAGACTAATGACAAGCTATGCGACTGCGCCGCGCGACTCCCAGACAGTGCGTGCAAGCTCAGTAGCGGCAAAGGCCTTACGCTCAGCAGACATGGGGGCGTCAGGGAGGGCAGCAAGCGTGTCGGAACAGGGGAGCTTACTGTCGACATGGACGACCAGAGAGTAGCCGTCCTGGCGCTGACTGGTTAGCTAGCGGCGGAGGTCGACGAGCCACGCCTCAAAATCAACAGCCCGACCCTCCGCGTCCAAGCGGAGGTCAAAGTCCGCCATCACCACGGCTGCAGCAGCTGACGGCCGCTGGAGGGGGAGGGAAGCGGCGGAGGGTGGGGGAGAGAGGTGGAGAGCGGTGGCGAGCGGTGAAGAGCGGTGGAGTGTGGTTGAGAGCTGTGGAGTGCGGTGAAGAGCGGTGGAGACTGTCGGCTGGAGCGCCAGCTCAAATGGGAGCCAAGGCCGGCAGGTCGGGACGGCTGAGTGGCTCGGCGGGGGTGCTGGTTCTGGTGGTGCTAGTCATGGGGTTACTGTCGTGGCCTGTCCCGGCGGTCCTGGGGGTGGCGCCGATGCTGGAGAGGGTTCTCGCTCTGGGGGTGTTGGCGTGGAGCGTCTCGGAGGTATTTGTGATGCAGCTGGGAGTTCTGGTGTTGGTGCGGAACAGCAGCAGCAGTAGCAGTCGCCGCTGGTGTCCGCCCTTCGCCTCCTCGGTCTTCCCTCCCCTGACCACCCGCCTGCGCCTCCCCCGCCGCCGCCTCCCCTGCCTGATACCCTCTCAGAGTAGGATTGTTGAGTAGAATGAGAGATACAGGGTGGTTTTGTCTAAGGGGTTGCACTCTCTATAAGACTACACCTATCTAGCCTATTACATATACAAAATATATGTTGACTATCTCTTGCCACGCACTACCCCCGGTCTAGCCTAGGTGTCAAGATATATTTGTATATGTTTATATGCTAGATAGGTGCATGCTCTTAGGCAGTACAACACCATGGCACAAAACCTCCCTGTATGCCTCGTTCTAGCCATTGCGTTATTTTGAGAAATACCCCCTCAGCAGAGAGTGTTTGCACCGATCAAATATTATTTTTGTGAGCCTACGCTCCATCACACCACTTCTCCTAATGAAGTTGGATCAGCTTCATCATAATCGAGGTGCCTAAAAATTGAATCAGCTACTTCCCCTGACTGCGTTGAATTGACTCCAACAGATGCTCCATCCTCACTTTCATCACCACCTGCCCACTCTTCGTCCGCTTCCTCATCTGCCCCCTGAACTCCCTCCGCCTCCTCTCCACTTCCTCCCTCTTCCTCCTCCCCTCCTCCACCTCCCTCCTCCTTGCCTCCCTCTCTGCAGCCTTCTTGGCCGCCTCCTCCTCCCGCTTCTTCCATATCCTCTCCAGACGATTCAACGGCCTCTGCCTCACTCCCTTTCCTCCTGTGCCGCCCTCACAGTAGCTCGCGCTTCCACCTGCCACCTCCAGTCCCTGGCCTCTCCCTCTCCCTCTTCCTCGCTCCCCCCCTCTTCCACCTCCCATTCCTCGGCCTTGTCCTCTCCCGTTTCTCACACCTCTCCCCTCCCACTCCCCTGCATCCTCCCCCCCATTCTCCCCCGTTTCCAGTCCGCCTATCCTCTGGTCCTCTCCGTCTGTGTCCTCTCCCAGCTCCTCTTCCCCCTCCTCTTCCCCCTCCGCTTCCCCCTCCTCTTCCCCCTCCTCTTGATCCGAATCCAAGTCCCCAGCACTGTCGTCATCCGCATCATCACTATAACCGCCAGATTCATCCCCCCCCCTCCTCCTACCCGGACTCGCCCTCTCATCACCCCCCTCTTCCCCTCCTTCCTCCTCTTCCTCCCCAACATCATTCCCATCATCATCCCCCTCTCCATATACACCATACTGCCTTCCTCGCCCTCTCACCCCACCAAAACCCCTAACCTCTTCACCCTCCTCCCCCTCGGCACCACCCATCACCCTCTCACTGCCTGTCGCCTTCCTCTCTCGCCCGATCATCTTTCGGTACTTCTGTACGGTCCTCGCGTCGTTCAGCACCTTCCGCCGCTTCCCTGCATACAGTGGGGTTGGTTCGAGGGTTAGGGTTCGAGCAAGGGAAGGAAATGGTCAGCGTTGGGTGGGACAAGCGAGTCTCCCGATCATATTTCTGTGCCTCTGTACGGCCCTCGCGTCGCTCAGCACCTTCCCCCGCTTCCCTGCACACAGCGGGGTTAGGGGTTAGGGTTTTCATGCAAGAGACGGAACACGTCAGCCGCGGGTCAAACGAGTCCCCCGCGTCTTCCTGCACCTCTGCACGGCTCTTGCGCCGTTCAGAACGTCCACCTCCTCTCTGCACACCACGGGCTCAGGATTCAGGGTTTAAGGGTTGAGGTTTGTGCAAGGAATGGGACGCGTCCGCCTTGCGTTAAAAACGGCAGGGAGGTAAGAAACGGAGGGGGGACGCGGCAAAGATGTGTGCGTTGAGGGAAGGGGGAAGGGGAAGCGGCGGGGGAGGGGGGGGGGGGGGGGGGGGGGGGGAGGGACAGGGACGAAAACGAGGGCGAAGGGAAAGTGCAATGCACGGAGCACATTGGCGGAAAGGTGCGCCCGCTGAGGGAAGGGGGAAGGGGAAACGGGAACGGGGGAAGGGGGGGAGGAGGGGAAGGGGAAAGGGGGAGCGGGAACGGGGAGGAGGCGGAGGGCGGAGGGGAAAAGTGACGCACGGAGCTCATTGGCGGAGAGATGCGTCCGCTGAGGCGCCATGTATCTCTTCCGCCCGCGTATCCCCTTGCGCACTCCCCCGTCCGCGCGCGGAACATACTTCTCCAACACGCCCAGCCGCAGCACTCCGCCACCTCCCCTTCCCCTACCGCCTCCCCCCCTTCCGCTGCCCCCACGGCCCCCGCCACTTCCGCCTCTTCCCCTTCCCCTTCCGCCCCGCGCGGCTGAAGGGGAGACCGACGGGGGAAGGGGCTTCTTCATACTAGCGCCGACGGATTGGTGCAGAGAATTAACTAACGACTCGAGGTGACAAATTCGCCAACTGGACGGACGCTAACGTGCACAAGAATTGCCACTTCGGGAGATGGCAGTGCGCGTGTGGGTCGCGTATTTGTGATACTCGAGTCTCTAGGTTCTCGTGACAGTGGGCTTTCTGGATCCTAGTCACAGTGGATTTTCTAGGCCCGCGGAAAGTCAACTTCTCTCACGGAGCTAACGCTCTCCTTAGTGGAAGGCGAGGCGCCAGAGCGGGCAAGGACACTTATGTGCACGCGATTTCACGATACAATACTCCCAGCCGCTTGTACTACCCGGGTGTTGGTCGGAGCCTATTTTTGAGGCTTATAAAATATAGACTCCTCATTTGTGTGCACTCGATTTCAAGATACAAATTGTTATGAATGAATCAAAATTATCACAGTTAGTGTAATAAAGGAGTCGTGATTCAAGAGTGTCGATACAAATGAGGGCCTAGGCTTTTATAGGCACGAACAGAGCTAGCCGAGAACCACGCGAACAGGTTGGGGCGATTCGGTTGGCGAAAGCCACGGAAGCGCTGCGCGTCGAGGTTTGGGTTCGCGAAGTGGTTTGGGATCGAAGAAGTTGGCCAAGCCTGGACTTCCGAGAGTCGATGGCGTAAGCGCTGTAGTCGAGCCCAGTAAGGAAAAGGGAATTTCTTTACACCAGGTCCCCTTCCGGGATGAGACTACCCACATCCGGGACACGTCGTCGATGTAAATAGTCACGGATGACTTTGTGTTCGCCGAGCACGGCTGCGGGTGTCAAACATGTGTATCTCCTATGTTTGCATAGACTGTATAGGGCCACCTCTTAGAGGGTACAACACTTAGGTATATTCACCTGTACTCTCTTTCTACTCAATCATTCAGTTCTCACTTTAACATGGCATCACGCGTAGGTTAGGATCCCCCACCTACCGCTTCCGCCCGTACCCTAGCTAGGCCCCGCCGCTTCCCCCTGAGCCCCGTCGCGCCTCCTAGCCCCGTCGCGCCCCTCCTGGGCCCTGCCGCGCCTCCTGGCCCCGTCGCGCTCCCCTAGCCCCGTCGCGCCCCTCCTGGGCCCCGTCGCGCCCCCCTGGCCCCGTCGCGACCCCCGAGCCCCGTCGCGCCCCCTAGCCCAGTCGCGCCCCTCCTGGGTCCCGTCGCGCCCCCCTGGCCCTGTCGTGACCCCCTAGCCCAGTCGCGCCCCTCCTGGGCCCCGTCGCGCCCCCCTAGCCCCGTCGCGCCTATTATGGGCCCCGTCGCGCCCCTCCTGGGCCCCGTCACGCCTTTTAGCCCCGTCGCGCCCGCTCGGCCCCGTCGCGCCCTGCCCGGCCCTGTCGCGCCCGCCTGGCCCCGTCGCGCCCTGCCTAGCCCTGTCGCGCCCTGCCTGGCCCTGTCGCGCCTGCCTGGCCCCGCCGCGCGTGCCTAGCCCCTCCGCGCCTGCCTGGCCCTGCCGCGCCTGCCTGGCCCCGTCGCGCCCTGCCCAGCCCCGTCGCGCCCTGCCTGGCCCCGTCGCGCCTGCCTGGCCCCGCCGCGCCTGCATGGCCCCGCCGCGCCTGCCTGGCTCCGCCGCGCCTGCCTGGCCCCGCCGCGCCTGCCTGGCCCCGCCGCGCCTGCCTGGCCCAGCCGCGCCTGCCAGGCCCCGCCGCGCCTGCCTTGCGCCCGTCCCAGCCGGCCCCGCGCCCGTCTGCTCGGCCCCTGCGCCCGTCCCAGCCGGCCCCGCGCCCGTCCCATCAACCTGGTGCCCGCTGCTTCTGGCCCCCGCGCCCGTCCTGCCCCGAGCTGTGTGCGGCCCGCCCGTCGTCCCTGCCCCGGCCCTGCATCCTCCCTGGTACGGTTCCCCATCTCCGCACCGCACTGCACCGCCTTGCACCGCACTGCATCGCACTGCACCGCAGTGCACTGCACGGTACCGCCCTGCACCGCATTGCACTGCGCTGCACCGCACTGCATCGCACTGCACCGCGCTGCACCGCACTGTCCTGCACTGCTCCTGATGGCGGCGGAGCTTCGCTTCGACGCTGAAGGCCAGCCTCTGGAGTTTGAGGCGTGGCTCGCCGACCTCCGTCGCCACCTCACTGGTCATCGGCAGGATGGCCACCCGCTTTCCGCACACCTTGACGATACGCTCCCCTGCCCAGACCCCCCTGCTGTTCTGCCCGCTGATTCCACACCCGCTGAGCGCGAGTCTACTGCAGCCACTACCCTTGTGCGCTATGTCTGGCTTTCCCGAGACGCTGTCGCTCAGCTTGCCATTAGCAATGCCCTTCCCACGTCTGAGCGCCCTCGCTTTAGGTCACTCACTACCGCCCATGCTTACTTAGATGCGGTCATCAAGCACTATTCCACCCCTCCTGCTGCCTCGGTGGGTCGCCTGATCCTCCCGATTCTCTTTCCCGACCTTGCGTCTTTCCCCACTGTCTCTGACCTAGATGCCCACCTGCGCTCGATAGATGAGACTTGGCGCGCTGCCTGCACTGACACACAGCTTAGAGCCCACCAGCCGCCTATTACCTCTACCCTCTACCTGCTTGCCACCCGCCTCCCTGACCGCCTTGCCGCCGCCCACGACCACTTCCTTAGCATCCACCCCGGTGAGCTCACCCTCCCCGACTTTGTAGACACCCTGACTGTTATCGAGACCCGCCACCGCTCCATCGCCCAGGCGAGCGATACCGTCCCGGTCCCTATCTTTCAGGGTTGTGCCCCCGCTCAGTGTACCTTCTCCGACGGTTCTGTCGCTGTGGCTGAGACTGCTGCTGCAGCGCAGCTTCGTTCGGGGAAGGGCCGCCGCCCCAAGGCTGGGCGCGGCGGAGGAGGCGGGGGTGCAGGAGGTGGTGGTGGTGGCGTCGGGTCGTCTGGTGCTGGAGCGGACGAGGGGACCCTGCCTGGTCCAGCGGAGCCGCCGCCACTGCAGTCGCAGCAGCAGCAGCAGCAGCCGCACCAGCCGTAGCAGCCGCAGCCTCCGCAGCAGCCACAACAGTCCCCGCAGACGAGGCCGACGAGTGTCCTCCCGCCCGGGTGGCCTGGCACTGGAGGTGGTCGGGCGCGTGGTGGTGTGCCGAGTGGTGGTTCGGGAGGCGTGCGTTGTCAGTACCAGATCCAGACCGGTCCTCGCCGCGGCTTCGTTTGCGGTAAGATCGGTCATACCACTCCCCGTTGTTTTCGTCGCCTAGACGACCTATTTCGTTAGCGCTTCGGCCCTTCGCCAGACCTCCCAGACTGGCACAGTTTGCTTAGTCGTAGGATTCAGATTTTTGACATGGACATGGATGCCATTGTTTCTGCTCTGCATGTGATGTATGCTGATGACTCTAGTGCGCTCCCCGCTTATTACTCACTATCGTCTAGTGTAGGTGTGCCTAGCTTAGCCTCCCCTGCTGCGTTAGGCGTAGGATCCCCTGCCTTGTTTAGCCTTGGTGCTTCCGCCGTCGCCCCGTCGCCGGACGCCACTGCTTCGCTTTCCTTCACCTTGGACTCTGGCGCTTCCCGGTGCTTCTTCCGCGACTCTACTACACTGACGCCGCTTCCTGTTCCTGCTGCCGTTTCTCTTGCTGACCCCTCCGGCGGTCCAGTAGTCGCCCGCAATTCCACCACCCTTCCCTGTCCGGCGGTTCCTTCAGGCTCTCTTACAGGTCTTCATATCCCCTCGTTCTCCAAGAACCTAGTTGGTGTAGGCTGCCTCCAGGACCTTGGCGTCACCACTACGTTTACCCAGGTTGCCGCTGCCTGCTCCTGTCGGTCCCTCACTCACCCGACTCTCCTTTGGCACCACCGCCTAGGTCACCCTGCGCTCCCGCGTCTGCGTCACATGTCCCAGCACGGTCTCGTCCTTGGTCTCCCTGGTTCTCTCCCCGCTTTTCCCTCCTCCCCAGCCCCACCTTGCACGCCTTGCGTCGAGGGTCGGCTTCGCCGTGCCCCTCACTCCTCGTTTCCCCCTACCGCCGCGCCGCTGCAGACCCTGCACATGGACGTCTGGGGCCCCGCCCCCGTCCATGGGCCGCGTCGAGAGCGCTACTTCCTTGTGCTTGTCGACGACTTCACTCGCTACACCTCGGTCTTTCCCCTGGAGCGGAAGGCCGACGTGCCTGCCGCTCTCATCCCCTGGCTTGTCTCTGCCCGTGTCCACCGAGGTCTCCCTGTCTTGCGCCTTCACTCCGACCGTGGTGGCGGAGGGCACCACCCAGACGGAGGGCATCACCCAGACGTTCACCCTACCGGACTCCCCACAGCAGAATGGGGTCGCTGAGCGACGCATCAGTTTGGTCATGGAGGTGGCTCGCACCTCCATGATCCATGCCGGTGCACCCCATTTTCTGTGGCCGTTCGCTGTGCGCTACGCTTCTCACCATCTTAACCTTTGGCTGCACACCCACCAGCCGCAGGTTTCGCCGACCCATCGTTGGACTGGGTCTCCTGGTGACGCGTCTGCGTTCCACGTCTAGGGCTGCCTTGCTCACGTCCGTGCCTCCGGCACGGACAAGCTCACTGCCCGCACCCTTCCCTGCGTCTTCCTCGGTTTTCCCCTTGACGCGTCCGACTGGCACTTCTACCACCTGCCGTCTCACCGCTTCTTTCACTCTCGCGACGTCACCTTTGACGAGTCCATCTCCTACTACCGTCGCTTCCCCCACCGCGGTTCCCCGGTTACCCCCCCCCTGTTCTTGGTCACTCCTTCCTTGGTAGTCCCTGCCCCTCCCCCTCCTTCTCCCCGTCCTGCCCCCTCTGGTGTGTCCCACATCACCCCTCTTCCGTCGGTGGTCCCGGTTGAGGAGTCTTCTGACTCTGGTGGTCCTGCGGTGCAGTCCTCGCCGGCTGCCCCTCCCCAGGCGTACCCTCCTCCACCGCCTCTGCCGCCGCTGTCGCCCCTGCTGTCACAGCTGTTGTCACCTCCGCCGCCGCCGCTGCAGCCGTCGTTGTCGCTGCCGCTGCCGCCGCCGTCGCAGCACCTGTTCGTTGACTCTGGGTGTGCTGGCGTTGGAGTGCGTGCTAGTCCCGGTAGCCCTGTGGGTGGTACCGGTCCTCGAGGGGTTTCGGGCCCTTGAGGTGTTCCCTCTTGGGGTGCTGGCATGGAGTGTGCCGGTGGTAGCCGAGGAGCAGCTTGCGGTCCCGGGGTCGGCGTTGTGCCGCCGCAGCAGCAGTCCCCGCCGGTGTCAGCCCTTCGCCTGCTCGGCCTTCCATCCCCTGACCCTGCGTCTATTCCTCTCCGGCCGTCTCCTCGGGTTCTGTTACACCTAGCTGCTCAGCGTGACTACGAGCTTCACTCCCTC